CATTTTTTTGTACAGACAGAGTGAGAGGGAGAGAGATGCAGAGAGAGAGAGGGAAACATCGACGTGAAAGGGACACATCGAGTGGCTGCCACCCACACGACCAACCAGGGCCGGGGACAAACTGCAACCGAGGTACATGCCCCTAGCGGGAACTGAACCCGGGTCTCTCCGGACCGCAGGCGGACGCTCTAACCGCTGAGCCAAACCGGCCAGGGCTTGAGTTTATTCTTGCATGTCGTGTCAGTTGGTAGTCTAGTTTCATGTTTTTGCATGTACCTGTCCAATTTTCCCAACACCATTTATTGAAGACATTGTCTTTAGTTCATTATATGTTCTTGCCTTTTTTGCATATATTAAGTGAGCATAGTTTTTTGGGTAGGTTTCTGAGTTCTCTGTTCGGTTCCACTGATCTACATGCCTGTTCTTGTGCCATTACCAGGCTATTGTGATTACAGTTGGTTTGTAGTATAAGAAGATATTTAGAATTGTGATCCCTGTAACTCTGTTCTTCCTTTTCAAGATTGTTGTTGCTATTCGGGACCTTTTTTGGTTCCATATGAACTTTTGGACTATTTATTCTTGATCTGTGAAATATGCTGTTGGCTTTTTAATATAGACAGCATTGACTTTATAGATTGCGTTGGATAGTATGGAGGTTTCATTTTATTTATTTTTATTTTTTGTTAATGCTCAAGTGAGGATATTATTTCTTTGATTTTTAGATAGAGTGGAAGGGAACTAGGGAGAAGGAGAGAGAGAAACATTGATATGAGAGAGAAATATCAATTTTTTGCCTCCCACATGACCCTGACTAGGGCCAGGTATTGAATCTGCAAAGTAGGTATGTGCCCTTAACTGGAAGTCAAACCTGCAACCCTTTGGCTTGATAACTGACACTCTTAACTGTGGAGCCAAACCAGTCATGACTATGCTTCCATATTTTTATGTCTTTCTCTATTTCTCTTTTTAATGTCCTGTTGTTTTCCGAGAATTGGTCTTTACTTTCTTGGTTAAGTTTATTCATAGGCATTTTAATTTTTTTATTGTTATGGTAAATGGGTAAATTATTTTATGGGTAATCAACACTTTCATTGTTTTATAACATACTGTCTAGCTTCCATGTGTTAGAATGTGTCTGAGTGTTTTTATTGTAATTAATTTCTAGTTTCATGCCATTGTGGTCTAAGAAGACCCTTGATATAATTTTAATCTTTGTGAACTTGTAGTCTTCTTGATCTTCTGAGCTGGATGCTCTAGGAATGATTCTTGTGTGGATTTATGTGGGTTCTCCTGTTGAATTTGGGTCTTGATTGCTGTTGTCTTTTTGTGGCTCAGTCCTCAGTTTTGTTGACTGTGAGTTTCAACCTCATACCTGTTGGCCAGCTGTTACATAGGTGCTGACAGAACAAGACAAGACAAAACCAGACCAGACCAAATAGAACCCCCCAAAATAGCAACACCAGTAATAAAAGCTATAGTCTCAACAAAGAGATTAAAAGACGAACAAACAAATAGAAAACGCACACACACAATGAAAGCAAGGAAGGCAGATATCAAAGATAGGGTAAGTATAACAAATATAGGGTAGAAAATAACGAATGAAATAGAAAATTATAATTTTAGGAATCAGTGCACTAAGTAAAATGTAGAATAGGAAAGTAAGAAAAGAGAAAAGAAAAAAAATGAATTAAATATAAAAATTGAAGCCTCCCCCCCCCAATAATCACAACAAAAAAACTTTGGATCTCACTGGATTTTGCTCCGATGTTGTTGGATCTGGCCCTTTGGTGTGTGGGTTTCTGGTGCAGACCAGTGTTAATGACACTCCATGCCTAGCCCTGGGCCTCCTAGATGAAGACCTACAGGGCTGGGCCCCAAGTATTCCAGTGGGACGGGCTTCCCTGGCCAAGAGGCTTGGCTCTGCTTTGGGCTTGCTCCTTAAACATACTAGGGCTCCTTTCCCTTCCCCAATGGCACTTGGCTCTGTGGGCCATCAGGTCTGGTCAGGATGGTTTAAATAGATTTGTATTGGAGGAGGGTGGAGGGTGTTGCCTATAGTCTGTAGGAGGGGCAGGTGGTCACTTCCTCTCCTTCTGATGCCTCATCTTTACCTCCGGGGCAGGTGGTCACTTCCTCTCCTTCTAATGCCTCATCTTTACCTCCGGTTGCTGGCATATTGTGGTCACTGCCCCAAGGAGAGTAGGATAGAGAGAAAAAAAAATCTGCTCTGCTTGGCTTTCTAAACTTTCAGCACAGCTGGCTCTCAACTAGAGGGGCTCCTGCCACAGGGCCAGATGTTTCAATCCCTGGTACCTCCAGGCCCTGCTCCTGAGGTGCTGATTTCTAGCCAGAGCTGTTCCGTGGGTGGGGGAAGGTATGCCTCCTCTTTGCTAGAGGTAGGGAGAATCAAACCTCTTTCCCTAGCACTCTTTACTACCCTGGCTCATCAGCGAACAGTAGACCCTTCAGATTCACTCACTGCTGGGTGATTCTCTAAGATTCCCTCCTCAGGTCCACAGTTCTGCTTTGTGGCCCCTTCCGCAAAACACAATCAGGGGGAGCTTCCCAGTCTGGTGGTATAACCAAGCACTAGCTTTTAGCTTGTGATATTGCTCTCTGAGTCCCCAGGTGTGCTGAATCCTGTGATTTTGACTATTCTGTGCTACATGGACTCCTCTTCACTTCTGTATTGCTCCTTTGGGTATCTCTTTTGGGGGTTGAGTTCCTCTGCTCCTTGCGGGCAGGAGCTATGCTGCTGCACCTTCTCAGCTGCATTTCCCAGCTCTGTGAGTTTGCTCACCCACTCTTAATCTTCTCTTGTCCCCTCTACATTCTACTTGCTCCTTGCTCACAGTATTTCCATTCAGCTATTTTTCAGGTGATTTTTCAAGTTGAATGTTTTACATTTAGCTTCAAGTTCAGTCCTGTGCTAGGAGCAAGTGGGCAGGCATCATTGATCTTATCTCCTCCTATTTATTCTATTTCTGTAAAAAGTTGGAATCTTGATAGGGATTACAAAAAAACTAAATAAGGGTTTGCGTTGTATAGACTTTTTTTTTCTTGTTAATCCTTGCTGAGCATATTTTTCCTATTGATTTGTAGACAGATTGGAAGGGAGGGAGGGAGAAAGAGAGAGAAAGACATCAGTGTGAGAGAGACACATCGAATGTTTGCCTTACCCATGACATTGACCAGGGCCAGGGGTTGAACCTGTAACGTAGGTATATGCCTTGGACTTGGAATTGAACCTGAGACCCTTTGGTCTGTGGGCCAACGCTCTATCTGCTGGCCCATACTGGCCAAGGAATGGGTCATACTTTCTTACTCATTCAGCTACCCCGTGTCTTTTGATTGGGGCATTTAATCCATTCACACTAAAGGTTATTATTGATAAGTAGTTATTTATTGCCATATTTTCCTTTGTAACTATGTTCCTCTCTCTCGCTATTTCTTCTTAAAGCAGCCCCTTTTACATTTTTTGCAATGCTTGTTTGGTCGTAATGTACTCATGTAGCCCTTTGTAAATTTTATTTACTTGGGAAGCTCTATATTTTGCCTTCAATTTTGTTTTTATTTAACTTTTTTTTTTTTAATACATATTTTTTTATCCTCAACCGAGGACATTTTTCCATTTTTTGTTCAGATAGAGTGGGAGGGAGAGAGAGGGAGAGAGAGAGAGAGAGAGAGAGAGAGAGAGAGAGAGAAACACATCGATGTGAAGGGACACATCGAGTGGCTGCCACCCGCACGACCAGCCAGGGCCGGGGACAAACTGCAACCGAGATACGTGCCCTTAGCGGGAACTGAACCCGGGTTTCTCTGGACCGCAGGCCAACGCTCTAACCGCTGAGCCAAACCGGCCAGGGCTAAATTTTTTTTTTTACTGTTGTCTATGTCCATTGGTTATACATACATGCATATAAGTTCTTTGGTTTATCTCATCCTCCTTCCCCTCTCCAAGGTTTGTCAGTCTGAACCATACCCTTCTCTATCTCTCTGAGTCAGTTTTCTTCATCAGGTTTTTTTTTTCCCATTATATTCTGCAAATAAGTGAACTCGTGGTATTTATCTTTCTCTGATTGGCTTATTTCATTCAGCATAATACTCTCCAGGTTCCTCTGTGTTGTCTCAAAGGATAAGAGATCTTTCTTTGTTACAACTGCATAATACTTGATTGTGTATATGTAACACAGCTTTTTTTATCTACACATCTATTGATGGATACTTGTGCTGTTTCCAATTCTTAGCAATTGTAAATAGTGCTGCCATGAACATAGGGGTGCATATATTCTTTCTGATTGGTGCTTCAGGCTGCTATGAATATAGGGGTACATATATTCTTAGTGATTGGCGTTTAGGCTTCTTAGGATATATTCCTAGAACAGGGATCACTGGGTCAAATGGCAATCCAAATTTTAATTTTTTGAGGAAACGCTACATAGTGTTTTCCATAGTGGCTGCACCAGCCTGCATTCCCACCAGCAGTGTACTAGACTCCCCTTTTCTCCACACCCTCACAAGCACTTGTTTGATGATTTGTTGATGGCGGACATTCTGACAGGTGTGAGGTGATACCTCATGGTTGTTTTAATTTGCATCTCTTTAATGATTTGTGGCATCGAGCATTTCTTCATATGTCTCTTGGCCATTTGTATGTCCTCATTGGAGAAGTGTCTATTTAGGCCTTCTGCCCATTTTTTAATTGGGTTCTTTGTCTTCCTTTTGTTGAGTTATATGAGCACTCTTTATATTTTGGAAATTAACCTCTTACCTGATGTATCCTTGGCAGTATGCTCTCCCATACAATGGGTTCCTTTTCCACTTTGATGGTTGTTTCTTTTGCTATGCACAGGCCTTTTAATTTGATGTAGTCCCATGTGTTCATTTTTTTTCTTTCTGTTGCCTTAGGTAATACATCAGTGAAAATCCTGCTGTGTATGATGTCTGAAATTTTGTTGCCTACATTTTCTTCTGGGATTTTTATGGATTCCCAAGTCACATTTAAGTCTTTTATGCATTTTGAGTTTATTCTTGTGTATGGTGTAAGTTGCTGGTCTAGTTTCATTTTTTTGCATGTAGCAGTCCTGTTTTCCCAACACCATTTATTAAAGAGGCTGTCTTTACTCCTTTGTATGCCCTTGCCACCTTTGTCAAATATTAATTAAGGATTATGTCTTGGGTCAATTTCCGGGTTCTCTTTTCTGTTCCATTAATCTATATGCCTGTTCTCATGCCACTACCAGGCTGTTTTGATTACAGTAACTTTGTAGTATAACCTTATATCTGGTATTGTGATCCCATCTACTTTGTCCTTTTATAAGATTGCTGTGGCTATTTGGGTCTTTTTGGTTCCATATAAGCTTTTGAAGTGTTTGTTCTAGTTATGTGAAATATGTTGTTGGTATTTTGATGGGAATTACACTGAATCTATAGAATGCTTTGGGTAGTATGGACATTTTAATGATGTTAATTCTTTCAATCCATGAATAAGGTATGTGCTTCTACTTTCATATATCTTTCTCTATTTCTTTTGTCAGTGTCCTCTAGTTTTCTACAAATAGCTTCTTTATTTCTTTGGTTAAGTTTATACCTAAATTAATTTTTTTGCCCTAATGGTAAATGGGATTGTTTTTATAGTTTCTCTTTCTGTGAGTTCATTATTGGTGTATATGAATGCTGTCACTTTCTTGATGTTAATTTTGTATCCTGCTGCCTTGCCAAATTTATTTAATAAATTTAACAGGCTTTTGATGGAGTTTTAGGGTTTTCTAGGTATAATATCATGTGACCTGTGAATAATGACAGTTCACTTCATCCTTTTCAATTTAGATCCCTTTTATTTTTTCTTCATGTTTAATTGCTGTGGCTAAGACTTCCAGTACTATGTTAAATAAGAGCGGCAAAAGTGGGCATTCCTGTCTTGTTCCTGTTCTTAAGGGAAATGCTTTTAGTTTTTGTCCATTGAGTGTGATGTTGGCTCTAGGTCTTTCATAAATGGCATTTATTATGTCGAGATATGATCCCTCTATTCCCACATTATTGAGCGTTTTTATCAGAAATGGGTGCTGGATTTTGTTGAATGCTTTTTCAGCGTCTGTTGTTTTCATCATATGGTTTTTATCTTCATTTTGTTTATGTGGTGTATAACATTTATTGATTTGCGAATATTGTATCAGCCTTGCATTTATGAGGTGAATCTCACTTGGTCATGTTGAATAATTTTTAAACTTATTGCTGGATTTGATTTGCTAGTCTTTTGTGAAGGTTTTTGTCATCTATGTTCAAGGATATTATTGGCCTGTAGTGTCTTTTTAGGATTTTGGAATTAGAATTATGCTGGCCTCATAAAACGAGTTTGAAAGTCCTCCTTGTTCTTGAATTTTTTGAAATAGTTTGAGGAGAATGGGTGTTATTTCTTCTTTGAATATTGGTAAAACTCTACCGTGAAGCCATCCAGGCCTGGACTTTTGTTTGCTGAGAGAATCTTGATTACATCGATTTTCATAGTTGTTATTGGTCTGTTCATGTTTTCTATCTCTTCCTGGTTCAGTTTGGGAGACTGTGTGTTTCTAGAAATTTGTCCATTTCTCAGAGATTGTCCAATACGTTGCCATAAAATTGTTCACAGTATTTGTTAAGGATTTTTTGTATTTCTGTGGTGTCAGTTATTACTTTTCCTGTTTCATTTCTGATTTTGTGTTTTTAAGTTCTCTCTCTTTGTTTCTTGGTGAGTCTAGCTAAGGTTCCATCAATCTTGTTTATCTTTTCAAAGTACCTGCTCTTTGTTTTATTAACCTTTTGAATTGCTTTTTGATGTCTATGTCATTTATTTCTGCTCTGATCTTTACTATTTCTTTTCTTCTACTTGCTCTGGGGTTTTCTTTTTGTTTGCTTTCTAGTTCTTTAACTTGTGAGGTTAGATAGTCAATTGAAATTTTTTCTTGCTTTCTGGGGTAGGACATTAGTGCTATGAACTTCCCTCCCAGAACTGCTTTCGCTGCATCACATAGATTCTGTGTTGTGGTGTGTTCATTTTCATTGATTTCCCAGAAATTTTTGTATTCTTCCTTAATCTCCTTGGTAACCCATTCATGTTTAATAACATATTTTTTATGTTCCATGTGTTCAAATGTCTTTGCATGTTCTTGTTGTAATTTATTTCTAGTTTTATACTATTGTAATCCGAGAAGATGCTTGATGTGGTTTCAGTCTTAGTTTGTGTCCTATAATGTGGTTTATGTTTGAGAACGTCTTATGTGCACTTGAGAAGAATGTGAATTCTGAGGTTTTGGCATGTAATTCTCTGTACATATTTATTAAATTCATTTGATGCAGAGCATTATTTAGTCTCTGCTTTCTTGTTAATTTTTTGTCTAGAGGATCTATCCAGTGATGTCTTTAGGGAGTTGAAATCCCCTGCTATGATTGTATTGCTGTCAGTTTCTCCTTTGAAGTCCTCCAGAAGATTTTTAATATATTTTGGTGCTCCTATATTAGGTGCAGATATGTTCATCCAAGTTATATCTTCCTGTTGGATAGAACCTCTCAATATTATATAATGGCCAACTTTGTCTATAATTACAGCCTTCATTTTGAAATTTTTATCAAATATGAGTATTGCTATTCAGCTTTTTTCCCCCCCTTTCTGTTTGCTTAGACGATTTTTTTTCATCCTTTCACTTTCCACCTATAGGAGTATTTTGTTGTGAGGTGGGTCTCATGTAAACAACATATATATGTCATGCTTTCTTATCCAATCAGCTACTCTGTGTGTTTTCATCTGAGCGTTCAGTCCACTGACATTTAAGGTTATTATTAATATGTTCTTATTTATTACCATATTTGTTTATTGTGGTTTTATTTTTCTTTCTATTTTTTCTATTAATTATAGCAGTGCTTTTAACATTTCACGCAGTGATGGTTTGGTGCTAATATATTCCATTAGCCCTTTTTTCCTGGAAAGCTCTTTATTTCATCTTCTATTTTGAATGATGCCTTAGCCTTTTTTTTCCCCCCCTGAGAAGCTTTTTATTTCACCTTCTATTTTGAATTATATCTTGCTTCACAGAGTAGTCTTGGGTTTAGATCCCATTTTTCATTACTTTGATTACTTCATGCCATTACCTTCTGGCCTGTAGTATTTCTGTGGAGAAGTCAGCTTATAATCTTATTGGGGTTTCTTTGCAGGTAATTGGTTGCTTATGTCTTGCTGCCTTTAGGATTCTCTCCTTGTCTTTAATTTTGGGCATTTTAATTATTATGTGTTTTGGTGTGGGCCTGTTTTGATTCTTCTTAGCTGGGGTTCTCTGAGCTTCTTGAACTTGTATGTATGCCTTCTTCCTTTACCAAGTTAGGGATGTTTTCTGTCACTATTTCAAATATATCTTTTAACTCTTGCTGATTTTTTTCCTCTGAACTCCTGTGGTGCAAATGTTGTTACCTTATCAGTTGTTCAACAGTTCTCTTGCTCTCTTCCTGTTTTTTAATTGTTTTTTTTTCTTTTGCTTTTTTGACAGGTTGATTTTTTTTCTACCCTGTCTTCTGATTCACTGATCCGGTCCTCAACTTTCTCTGCTCTGCTAGTTATTCCTTCCAATGTGTTCTTCATTTCTGCTATGTCAATCTTCATTTCCACTTGGTTTATTTTCAGTGTTTCTATATCTTTAATGTTCAACTCCTTACTCAAGCTGTTCAGCTTTCTTATGATCATGGCTCTAAACTCTACCTCTCGTAAACTTGTTTAACTGCATTTTATTTATCTCATCTTCAGTAGAGGTCTCTTGTTCTTTCATTTGGGATTTGTTTCCTTTGTTTCACCATTTAGGCTATCTCAGTGGGTTTTGGAGCCTGTCATATTTTCCCTGTGGGTGTTGGTGTTCTGCTTTTGGTGGCTTTGTCTGCTGGGTTTGGATGAGTGTGGGAGGACCCATGTTTAACACCAGTAAGTCAAGTCTTTCCTGGGTAGATTTGCAAGCCCAGAAATGGTTCAGCTATCCTCTAGTTTTTTGCCTGGAGGCTGTTAGTCTCAGTTACTTGATAAACCTTGGGTTGTAACTCTCAGGTTTTCAGCCTAGGAGAATTTCCAGAGGGTGGGGCAGATGCTGGTCGTTAATGAGCCTCAATTTGCATTTCTCTAGTCCAGCTGTGTGGGGTTAAATCTCCCAGGGAGTGGACTGCTGCTTCTCCCCAGGGTTCTGGGAAGGGGCTCCCTGAGCAAGATGGCCACTGTCCTGTGCATTCATGGCTCAGCAAAGACTCTCAGCGCCCTCCAAGTCCCAAGTGTCCACACACAGTTTCAGTCCAGTCTGCCCTCCCTTTGCCAGTACCAGTGGTGGATGTCTGTAGGTGATTTAGTAGTCTGTCTCATCCCTCTGTGCTGTGGAGTCGGCTTTGGATTTTAACATGGAGGGAACTGCTCACAGCTAAAACATCTTCTGTCCATGGGCTCCCAGCCCTCCCTATCTCGCCTCCCAAGACCTCCCAGGCTCAATTCAGTGTCCCTGGTTATATGGATCCTCTGTGGCTGCTTTTCTGTTGCTTTTTCCTGATGATTTGTCGTTGTTTAGTTGTAATTTCAATTTTGTCCTAGGAGATGGTCTGTGTAGCTTCTATTCACTCCATTGCCATTTTGCAATCTCAAAAAAGCGTTTTAAGAGAAGTGTCAAGGTGCCTCTACCTTTTTTTTTAGGAGTGCATGGTGTCAAATTTTTTGCTTAATCTTATTTTCTTGTTTTTAGTTAATTTTTGTGAGTGATGTAAGATAGGGGTTTAATGTAATATTTTTACACAAAGTTTGCATGTGTTTATCACTCTTTCTCAAAACCATTTGTTGACGAGATAACCCTTTTGCCATTGGGCTTTCTTGCCTTTCTTGTTAAATATTAGTTGATTGTAAGTGTGATGATTTATATCTTTGCTCTGTGTTCTCTTCCTTTGGCCCCTCCCTCTCTCCTTTCTTTCCTTTTTATGCCAGTATAGTTTCTATTATAGTTTTATAGTATAAATTGAATTAGGAAATGTAATACCTCCAGCTTTGTTCTTTCTCTGGATTGCTTTGTTTTGATCTTTTGTCTTCTGTATGTATGTGTGGTTTTACACAAAATTTAAAATTTTTAAGATTTTTCCTGAAGAGTTTATTAAAGTAACTGTAAATGTTTCTTGTCTTTTGTCTTCTGTGTTACCTGTTGACTCATGACTATTCTTTAAAGTGTATTTTAAGATGTGAAAGAAGTTTTAGAACTTTGAAATCTAAAAACTTGTACCATTCTTTTTAACAGAATGCTGTCTTTTTATATGGCCTTGGTTTGGTTTACTTCTACTACAATGCATTTCACTGGTAAGTTTACTTACAAGTAGATGTTTTGAGTGGTGTGTGTGTGTGCGCGTGCGCATGCATGTATGTCTGTAATAAACACAGTAATGTCAGTAAACATACATTTCATTACTAGTATATTTATTTTCCTTTTTAATCTTCTACTTTGTCAAGTTCAGCCCTAATTATATACTCTCAATATTTTTCAATTACTAAATAATTAAGGTATATCTTTCAATGTTGAGGATTAACTGTGATAGTAATATGTATGACTTTGATAGTTTAAAATACAGAAAACTGTTTTGGTTTTGGTTTCTGTGTTTTTGATTTATATATTATGAGAATTCAGAGGAAGGTGAATGAGTACATGGCCAGTATTTATCATCATGTTGTGTAGGTCATTCTGAATATTTATGCAAACTTCTTAAATTTCCACTTGCCAGTATTTTATGTGATTTCCCAGAGGTGAATATTTAGCTTTTAATTGGACAGTCTGACTTCTGATTTTCTTAATTCTTTGGCTTTTGAGCCTTTTTTTTTTTTTTGTAAATCCTCACCCGAGGACATTTTTTCCATTTTTTTTGTTCAGTTAGAGTGAGAGGGAGGGAGAGAGAGAGAGAGAGAGAAACATCGATGTGAAAGGGTCACATCGAGTGGCTGCCACCCGCATGACCAACCAGGGCCAGGGACAAACTGCAACCAAGGTACATGCCCTTAGCGGGAACCGAACCCGGGTCTCTCGGGACCGCAGGCCGATGCTCTAACTGCTGAGCCAAACCGGCCAGGGCTGGCTTTTGAGCTTTTTAATTATGTCGTATTTGGATTCACTGCATTGCTTATTAAATAAGCTTGTGAATTATAGATGTTAACAATTTCTTTTTTTGTCGAATGACACATTACCTTGAGTGATCTTAAACTTAAGCCACTCCCTTCTTTTATAGGAACTTTATTTTAAAATGAGTCAAGATTAGGACTATTTTAAGGCCTCTGAAAATCCTATTCACAGATTTTACAATTCGGAATTTTTAGAATGAGAAAAGATCTTGGAGATCACATAGTTTTTTTTTTTTGTTTTGTTTTTTTGTTTTTTGTTTTTATCCTCACCCGAGGGCATTTTTGCATTTTTTGTTCAGACAGAGTGGGAGGGAGAGAGAGGAAGAGAGAGAGAGAGAAACATCGACGTGAAAGCGACACATCGAGTGGCTGCCACCCACACGACCCAACCAGGGCCGGGGACAAACTGCAACTGAGATACATGCCCTTAGCGGGAACCGAACCCGGGTCTCTCTGTACCGCAGGCCGACGCTCTAACCGCTGAGCCAAACCGGCCAGGGCAAGATCACATAGTTTTAATCTTTTCATTTTGTTGAATGGGGAAATAAGATGTCCTTTTACTCTATGGTTATTAACTATTTATTTAGGGGCAGAAGCAGGCCTTGAGTTTAGGTCCCCACTTTAATAATTTAAAGCATATTTCATACTGAAAGAAAAAGATGGCATAATTTTTGCACAGCTGTTAGTGACATTGTATTCATAGACTTGTGATCGCTTATAGATGGGAAGAGGACAGAGGTTACAAAAGGTAGAAATAGGGTTTAACAAGTTTATAGAGAGATTGTTTAGAAAAGTCTAAAAGTTATACTAACTGGAATAATTTGTTACAGTTGGTGTTACATCAAAGTTGAAATATCTATTTTTTAGTCAGTATTTATAGTTATTTGTTCAGATAGATACAGTTATTTTAGCTAGCTAAGACAAATTTACATGAAATACAATGTAAGGCTGGGAACAAATATCTTTACAGTTTAATAATAGAAAAGTGTATCTCATGTTGCACAATTTTATGTACTTAAGATACCCATGAGCCTTGTTAGATTGAAGATAAGGAAAGAAAATAATGAGGGAGATAAGTTAGTTTATTTTAAAAATATTAATTGCTTTGAATACATTGGGCCAAAGTAAGTTTACACTGTAATACAAACAAATAATACAAGAATAACTGTAAATCTCCTTTTGCCGACCCCTTGTATGTATATGGAAATGTTAAATTGGGTGTGGGAAATTGATTATAAATTTTGATAACTCATTTTTAGATGTCTATGTTTCCTAAAATGCTCAATTTTATAGCCTCACAATTTTAGAAGTAAGATTTAACCTAAATGACTTACTGAAGGCGTAGTATGTATATTACTTTCCCTTAAATTGTGGTATGAATGGAAGTACAAATCACATTAACATTTTACAATGTTAAGTTGTAAAAGTGATATCTAGGGAATACAGTACTTGACTTCAAAATAAAGTTTTTTTCTTTTGTCTTTTTTTTTATATTCTATTCATTAGTATAGTTCATAACATTAAAAATGTGTCGAGTGCATCTAGATTTTCTTTATTGATAATCAACACCTGTTAAAAAGACAAATAATTAAGACAGTATACAGTTAGAACAAAGGTAGGCTGTCTATTGATATGAATGGAGAAGTTAAACACAATCACTGGCCATCAATTTATAGCAAAGTTGACACTGCATTGCTAATAGAGTAAAAAATGCTCTATTCCTACGGAAGAGAATAATTTTCCACAAATTATTCTCTTCCGTAGGAATTGCATTTGGAAAAAATTATACTAGTTGTTACTGTGTTAATCTTAGTTACGTAGGTTTGGAATAGAACCCAAAATGTGTGGGGTAGTACTAAAACTTCGAAAGTTGATTTCTATGGAATAATAAAGGTCCAGGATTAACACTCCTGTCCTCATGCTCTCTTAAAAACTTTCCTACTATGCTCTTTCTGAGATATTTAAAAAATTTTAAATTGGTTATTTATACTCAAAATGTAAAATTTTTAAATATTGTTGAACAATTTGAGGAAGTTGAAATAGATTCAACTGAGATACCTTATCAGTTTCTAATGACTTTTACTATTTATAACGCTTGTATAAAATTATAATTTCTGTAAAAATTGTTGTACCAGAATGTTTCTTGAACTACCAAGGAAAATACATATAGATATTACAGTCTAACAGTTCTTATGTCTATATTCTTTAAGGGCAATTAAGGCATTTCAGGAGGTGCTTTATGTTGATCCCAGCTTTTGTCGAGCCAAGGAAATTCATTTACGACTTGGGCTTATGTTCAAAGTGAACACTGACTATGAATCTAGTTTAAAGGTAGGTGGTTGGGGTATTTCCTAATATATCTCTTCATTTGTATGTGTATTTAAATGTCAAGAATACTGAGAAATTTCTAATTTATATTAACACTTTAAAAGTGAACGAATTTAGGATATGAACTAAAAGGTAAAAAAAGGATTGGATTTCAGTACACAAAGTAGATAGGTATGATGTTAAGATTTGCAAGATAACTTTTTAGTGCTTTAGATTTGATTTAATTATTTAATTTATTGTTAATTCTTACGAGATGATTTTTTTTTTTTTTTCATTGCTTTTTAGAGAGAATGGAACGGTGAGTGGGGGGAGAAATATTAACATTGATGTGAAAGAGACATATTGATTGGTTGTCTCCTGTTCTGCATACATTCCAACTAAGGCCAGGAATCAAACCCTTGACCCTTCAGTGCATGGGCCAGTCCTCTACCTACTGAGGCACTCCTGCCAGGTTGGGTTTTTGTTTTTTAAAAAATTAAGACCACGGTTTCTGACCTGGAAATAATGAATTATTTTATTTCACTTGAGCATGCATGTAAAACACTATTGTGTATGTAATGGCCTCCAGAGACATGAAGAGTATGTTAGTGATACTGTACTTGGGATCTGTTTATTAACTATTCTTTCCTGTGGGTCTGACAGGAAATCTACCCACTTCTACTCAGAGGACATGTGTCATAGTAGAATGAAAGAATAGATTTTCCTTTATTAAGGCTCGTTGATTGCTAGTTGGTACTTGTAAAACATTTGGAAGAATAACATTAAGTTATTCTACCTTATTTCTGATAGAAATTTGATATGTCAAAACTTAAAATTTTTTGGTTTCTGGGTTTTGCTATCATTTTGCAATTTATATTTTTTTTTTTTTTTTTTAATGAGAATGGAGCTTCCTTGTCTCTCATATTCATTGCTTTTCAAAAGAATGTGATTTTCTGGACAAAAACAATGTTTGTGAAATTGTGACTATTTAGAATGTTTGGTCTTTTTTCTGCATATACATTATTTTGATTATAAAATCTTTGTGCATGTGCCCAATATGTGTGTGTGAGAGAGAGGGATAGAGAGAGAAAGAAACTTTATAATAGGACTTACTCGGAACTCACTAAATGAAAAGGTCAGTGATTTCCTGTAATTTGGTGAACTTAGAAAACCATTATTTTCTGGTTACTTTTTATTACAGTAAAAGAATACAAATTAAAATTGTCGAAAGAAAAATATATAATAGGAAGAGTCCAGAAAATATCCCCAGTGGTGGATATCACTTAATTTTTCTCACCTAGTTATGTGTGAGTGATTCCACACAAAGACTATTGCAAACCAGGGGCAATACTCAAGTCTTTCCAAGGTTCTTTTTTTTTTCCCCCATCTTGTTTTTCAGTTACAGTTTATATTCAATATTAGTTTTTGTTTATTTCAGGTGTGCTGCTTAGTGGTGAAACGATTATGTATTGTATGAAGTGATCCCCCGATAAGTCTAGGACCCATCTGGCACCATACATAGTTATTATACTATTATTAATTATACTCCCTGTGCTATACTTTATACCCATCCTTCCCCTTTGGAAACCATCAGTGTGTTCTCTGTATCTATCAATCTGCTTTCATTTTATTTGTTCATTTATTTTGTTCCCTATATTCCACGTGTAAGTGAAATTATATGGTATCTATCTTTCTCTGATTTACTTATTTCATAAAACCCTCTAGATCAGCGAGGGTATGTCTCAAGAATTTTTAAGACATGTACTACCTGACTATTTAGTCAGCAGCAGTGACCACTTTTTTTAGATTGTCAAATAAAAAGTGTTAACAGCCAACACAACAGTCATCCAATTTGTCAGATCAGTAAAAATATATGTTTTGATGTGCCGCAGAATTTTAGTAATTAGTTTATGTGCCATGAGATGAAAAATGTTGAACATCACTGCTCTAGGTTCATCCACACTGTTGCAAATGATAAGATTGATTTTTAATGGCCAAGTAATATTCCATTGTATAAATGTACCACTGCCTTTAAATCTACTATCTGCTGATGGGCACTGTGTTTTTTCCATAGTATGGCTTTTGTAAATAATGCTGCAATGAGCATAGGGCTCGTGTATTCTTTTGAATTAGTGTTTTTGTTTTCTTTGGGAAAAACAAAACAAGTGTAATTGCTGTGTCACAGGTAGTCCTATTTTTTAAAATTTTGGGGGACACTTTATACTGTTTTTTTTCTTTTAGTGGTTGCACTAATCTGCATTCCCACCAGCAGTTTTCTCCACTCTCTCAGAAACTGATTTTTGAGTTATTAATCAAAATATTCTCTGACAAGTGTGAGATACTATCTCATTGTGGCTTTAATTTGCAATTCTCTGGTGATTAGTGACATTGGGCCTCTTTTCATGTTTATTGGCTATCTGTATGCCCTCTTTGGAGGTGTCTTTATTCAGATCTTCTGCCCATTTTTTTTTTTTTTTTTATCCTCACCCGAGGACATTTTTCCATTTTTTATTCAGGTAGAGTGGGAGAAAGAGAGAGGAACAGAGAGAGAGAAACATCGATGTGAAGGGACACATCGAGTGGTTGCCACCTGCACAACCGGCCAGGGCCGGGGACAAACTGCAACCGAGGTACGTGCCCTTAGCGGGAACCGAACCCGAGTCTCTCAGGACCGCAGGCCGACGCTCTAACCGCTGAGCCAAACCGGCCAGGGCTCTTCTGCCCATTTTGATTGTATTATTTTTTGTTTGATGTTGAATTATTTAATGAATTTTGGACATTAACTCCTTATTTGATATATCATTGGCAATTCTGTTTTGATTTTGTTGATGGTATCCTTTGCTGTGCAAAAATGTTTTAGTTTGATGTCCCATTTTTTTTTTGTGCTTTTTATTCCTTGCCTAAGGAGATCTATCAGAAAAAAATGTTGCTAAGAGAAATGTTAAAGATTTTTCTTCTATGTTTTCTTTTAGGAGTTTTATGGTTTCAAGTCTTACATTTAACATTGTATTCCTATAGTCTTGCAATATAATTTGATATCAGGTATTGTGGTATCTCCAACTTTGTTCTTCTTTCTCATGATTGCTATGGCTATCCGATGTCTTCTCTGATTAAAATTTTTTAAATTATTCATTCTAATTCTATGAAATACAACATTCATATTTTGATAGAAATTGCATTGAATCTATAGATTGCTTTGAATCATGGTTGCAGGTTCAATCACTGTTCCTAGTCAGGATCTTATATCAGATGCTTTCTTTGTAATTGTTGATGCAATTAGTATGGATGTTAATTCTTTCTGGCTATGAACATAGCATATGCTTTTATTTATGTGTATTTTCTTTAATTTCTTTCTTCAGTGTCTTACAGTTTTCCAGGTACAATTCTTTTACCTCCTTGGATATATGTATTCCTAGGTACCTTATTATTTTTATTTTTAATGTAATTGTGAATGGAATTGTTTTCTTTTTTTTTTTTTTTTTTTAATCCTCATCCGAGGACATTTTTCCATTTTTTGTACAGACAGAGTGGGAGGGAGAGAGAGGAACAGAGAGAGAGGGAAACATCGATGTGAAAGGGACACATCGAGTGGCTGCCACCCGCACGACCAACCAGGGCCAGGGACAAACTGCAACCGAGGTACATGCCCTTAGCGGGAACCGAACCCGGGTCTCTCCGGACCGCAGGCGGACGCTCTAACCGCTGAGCCAAACCGGCCAGGGCTGGAATTGTTTTCTTAATTTCCCTTTCTTATTGTTCATTTTTGATGTATACAAATGAAACAGATTTCTTAGTATTTATTTTGTGTCTTGCAACATTTATCAGTTCTAGCAGCATTTTGGTGGAATCTTTAGGATTCTCTGTCTACAAATAATGAAAATACAAATAATTTCCAGTACAAATGCCTTTTATTTCTACTTGTCTGATTGCCTTTGACTAGGAATTCTAGTACTGTGTTGACTAAGAGTGGTGAAAAGTGGACATTTCTGCCTTGTTTTGGGGTTTCATTCCTGGTCAAGGGCACGTACCTGGGTCGCAGGTTCAATTGCTGTCCCTGGCCAGGATCATATGTCAGATACTTTCTTCGTGGCTGTGGATATGATTAGGTATGATTATTCTTTACTTTGTTTTTGTGCTGTGTCACTAATTGATTTATGGATATTGAACTATTATTGCTACATTCGATTTGCTAGTATTTTTTTAGACATTGCATCTCTGTGATTACAGTTATTGGCCTATAATTTTCATACTTTGTAGTTTCTTTATCTAATTAAAAAAATATATATATAATCCTCACCCGAGGACATTTTTCCATTTGTTGTTCAGCTAGAGTGGGAGAGAGAGAGAGGAAGAGAGAGAGAGACATCAACATGAAAGGGACACATCAAGTGGCTGCCACCTGCACAACCAACTAGGGCTGGGGACAAACTGCAGTCGAGGTACATGCCTTTAGCGGGAACTGAACCCAGGTCTCTCTGGACCACAGGCCGATGCTCTAACCACTGAGTAAAAATGCCAGGGCTTTTATTTATTTTTAAAATTTATCTCTATGTTGAATATTTTACAGATATCTGCCCTTTGTTTCCCCATTGACCCCCTCCTCCCCAGTCCCGCCTCTGTCCTGCCTTCCCCATACTATTGTCTGTGTCCATTGGTTATGCATACGTATATGGTTAGAAGTTCTTTGATTTATCTCTTCCAACCCTCCCACCCCCCTTTCCCTTGAGGTTTTTCAGTCTAACAACCAATTTGTACTTCTTTATTCCTTCATCATTTTCACCCATCCCCCTGCCCCTCTCATCTGGCAAGCAACAAAAAGTTTTCTGTATCTATGAGTCTGTTTCTGTTCTGCTTGCTCATTTGTTTGTAGATTCAATTGTTGATAGATATGTATTAATTGCCATTTTATTGTTTATATTTTTGTTCTCCTTCAAGAAGATTCTTCAACATTTCATGTAATACTCGTTTGGTGGTGATGAATTCTTTTAGCTTTTTCTTTTTGGGAAACTCTTGGTATATCCATT